TTATGAGCCTTGTTTACATTAGTTTCCATAGAAACTGCACATAGCTTGCCTTTACCCCAGTTGATTGCCAGTAAAAGTCAGTGCCTGCGACTGGCCAGCACCTTTGTTGGTTGCACCTCCATTGGTTGTCCTGGCACCCTGTTTTCCCTCTCTTAGTTCTGTATCTTATTGTATTTATTTCTCAGGCCTGTGTGGCAGACTGGGCAGGTGGGTACTGGAACGTAACTGCAGGGGTCTCCAGTATATCAGATTAGTAAAAATTAAAATGGTCTGCTAGAGCTTAAATGTTGGGTTAACATGTTCCTTCTGAAACACAAATTTTCAACTAATTTGAAGAGCATATTGGCAAAATTTAATGAAATTGCAGTTTTTTTAAAACCTAGTAACTTTCCTCTTAGATATCAATTAGAGAAACTCAAAATGTGCACAAGATTTGTATTAGTGAATATATCAACATTATTCCTATTGTAATAGGAAAAATCTGCAAAAGAATAAATGACCGTTAATAGTTTAGCGAATCAATATTTGATATAGTCATAACATAGAGTACTCTAACTAGTTAAAATGAACATACAGTACCACATATATCATAAATCTAAATAAGTTGTTGAATTGACATTTCTCTGAAGATTGCATTTGCCTAATAAGCACACATTAAGGTACTTCCATCACTAATTATTACAGAAAAAGAAATGAAAACCATAGAGATACCACACACTCTTTGGGTGGCTGTTATCAAATCCAAAATAACAATTGTCAGCAAAATTCTGGAGAAATTGAACCCTTGTTTGCTGCTGGCGGGACTATGAAATGGTACATTCACTGTGGGAAACAGACTGGCAGTTCCTAAAACTATCAAACATAGACTTACCAGCAATGTTGTTTCTCAGTATATTCCCAAATGAATTGAAAGCAGGGGCACAAACTAATATTTGTATACATACACATGGGCACAGAAGTGTTATTCAGAATAGCGTAACATAGAAGTAACCAAGTGTCTATCAACAGATGAATGAAAAAGAAAATGTAATAGTTTGATGTAAAAAGGAATGCTATTATGATCCATGCTACAGATGAATGAGCCTTGTAGACATGCTCAGGGAAATACACCAGTCACAAAAGGACAAATGGTCTATGACCCCACTCATAAAAGATATTTAAGTGTAGTCAAATTCATAGAGACAGAATATAGAGCAGTGGTACCAGGAGCTGGGGGAAGAGAAGAATGGAGAGCTATTACTGAACAGACTCAGAGAAGAGAAAGTTCTGGATTTGGAAGATGGTAAAGTTGCACAATAATGTGAATGTACTTAATGTCATTGAATTGTACATAGTCCATAACCTGTGATCTTTCACCTTATAGCTTTTTGGCTTTATGCTAGCATAAAAATAACATACATTCTGTATGTAGAAATCATACTTTGAATTTTGATATTTTCCTGGGTTAGCAATATGCCAGGCAGTGGCAGTGAGTTGTAGCCCTCAGTCAGCCATGTGAGCATGAGAGTAAATAATCAGTACTCTGCAGGCATGTCTGACCTGGGACATTGTGGGCCATATGTGGCCTTGGATGGCCAGTAATGTGGCCCCATAAGAAACTTTTAACATCATTATGTGATTTATAATGATATTTTTTCATGATTTAATTGCACTGTGTGTCAGTGTTGTCTGTGTAGGCAACTGGGAATACTGCGTAGGAGAGGGCATAGTGCAGTGCTAATTCTGCTTCCTTCACCACCACACACAGTCTAGTGGAAACTCAAAATCTTGGTTAGTAAGATGCAGTGATTACTTACAATAGTATTTCAGCCTACACACAGTATGTGTGTGCCTGCAAAGATAGGGCTTTATTGTTATTAAGCAGACATGTAAACTTTCTTATTAGTAAAGTTAGGCAACCATTTCCATTGAACTAGACATTGATTCATTAGTTGTACAAAAATAAAGTCAAATATCACACTAGTTTTGGGTTTATGTTGCCCCCTCTTTGATATAGTAAAAAGTATAAAAATAAAAGATATTTAGTTACTTATATACATCAGTACATTAACTATATTACATATTTTATATGTGGCCCAAGACAATTTCTCATCACGCAGTGCAGCCCAGGCAAGCCAAAATATTGGACACTCATGCTCTACAGTGTACAGTATTGCTTTATAGTAGCATTAAGTGCATTTTTGAATTATAGTTTCAACTTAGAACAAGTTTGTTGGGATTTGACCCCATATAAGTTAAGGAAAATTTGCACTTAATAATGGTTAAAATGGTAAAAATAAAAAAACCTCAGTTAATTGGTCAAAATAAGGAAATTATAAAAGGATGCATATGATAATACCAATTATATTAAGTTTTGTAACTTACAAAAGAACTATAAACTATATCAATAGAAACTTTCAAAGCAAATATAGGAGTGTTTTCTTCCAAAGAAAAGAAGAAAGAAACTCAAATTGGGGGGTAGTGCACAAGAATTTCAATCATATCTGCAAAGTTTTGTGTCTTTACAAAATCTGTGGCAAATATGGTAAAATATTGGGCTTGATAATTGTGCCTGGTAGGTATTTGTAATTCCATTCTTTGGATTACTCTATGTGCTGAAATTTTCAAATAGCCCACTTTAATTATTGTTTTTATTCTCTCAGTTCCTTTTCCTACCTCACTTCTTAGATTTTTTAAAACCATATTTATAGTTTTCATTTTGAAAATCGCATTTCTTTCTCCTTAACTGGCAGTTCACTTATTCGTCCTTTAGATCTAGGTAGACTCAAGTTGTTGGGTCACCGTTTTTGCTGGATTCTAGATGTCTTAAATTGACCTTGAAGATCCTTCCTCTTTGAAAACATTTATAATAAAATGGTTTCTGTAGTCCTACTCTTTCATCTGAGTTTCTGTTTTATTTAATTCCCTTTTCTGTAACTGTTATGGAAATAATGCAATAAATACACAATTTATAAATTATTGACCATGTAGTGTGTGTGTGTGTGTGTGTTGAGGTTGGATGGAATGACTGAAATTGATCTTAAGTCATTAGCTGCCTGTAACATTTTTCTTTTTCCTTTTCAATACCTATACCCTTTATGGATCACCCCTTTTCACAAAAGGAATGATTTTATTATGTCAAGTACACATGAACTTAAGATATGGAAAAATAAAGGTAGTCAAATTGCTTAACTTCCAATAGGTCTTATTCTTCATTTCTAACGTAGGATAATACCTGCTCAATCAACTACACTGGATTCTTATAAAGTGCATGTTGAGTACTGTACACGAAAGCACTTTGAAAGTTTTGTAGTACTACATACATATAATGTACATTTCTTAAATTCACTCTAACATATATAATAGGCGGACTATTTTCATGCATAGACCTTTGTTATAGTATTTCTTGAAATGTGACTCTTCAGAGCACTAACTGTTGGGAATGTTAACAGGTGATATGTGAACAATGCTTCTATGAACAAAGCATTGAGAAAACACTGGTTTAAATATAGATAAATTAGGTTTCTGTACCCTTATACTTTTTCTTTTCTGGTACTGGGGATCAAACTCAGGACCTTGTGCTTGTGAGGCAGGTGCCGGAACCACTGAGGTAAATCCCTGGCCCCTATGCTTTTTGTTTTGAAAGTAATAGGCCAGTACACTTTGTGATCTGGAGAGAGAAAGAGAGAGAGAGAACACTAAGTAATATTCTTTTTGGAGGGATACATGTACCTTGGAATACACTGTGGGAAATACAATTCAAGATGTTTTATTGTTCTCAGTCTTACACTTTCATTTTTTAAACTATGATTTTTTTGTATAATTTGATTTATCTTCATTAGTAAGAGTTTTGAATTAAAACCATTTTACTGCTTGTGTTATAGACATTATATAGGTAGGAAAACAAGTTATTTTCATAGCTAATTCTGTTTTAGATTGTATTCTTGTTCCATAAGTGGTTCTATACTTTCTATAAAATTGTTTTGGAAAGCTTGTTGTACCTATATGTTTTTAGTAGATAGCAAAGCCTACCTTTAAATATGACATGTCTAAGAAGATGAAATCGTTTTAGATATCCTGAGAATGTTCCTAATCATTGGATACTAATTTTTTGAAGTTCCAAAACCTATTAGTATATATGCCAATTTTGAGGTTCTACTGAATTAGCAACTATCTTTTTCACCCATTTCCATTGTTTTTATATAGCAGATGAATTGTTTTTTATTTTTTCTAGTTTTTTGCTATTGAAGTGATTCTTGTCTATATAAAATAAAAACTATTGTTTTGAAACATCAAATATTAAAGTGATTTAAATACTTTATTCTGACTATTTTCAGGCATTGTTTTAGTGAATAGCAAGTAGATTAGTTTTGTATGCATGTATGCAATATTTGATGTAATATTTAACTTTCTAGTAAGTGTGCCTCATATTGACATTCTTGAACTTTATTGTATGAACTTCAGCATGTTTAACAATGATATGCCATGGAAAGATGTTTCAACATAAAATACACAATTTCATTCCTTTCATTTCTTTATTGTCATATACTTCAAATTATTTGTGAGAATTTTAGGCAAGTTACTTTTATTTAAGGAATAATGAGGGCTGGGGTTTTAGCTCAGTGGTGCCGCTACCTGCCTCGCTAGTGCAAGGTCCTGAGTTCGATCCCCAGTACCAAGTTAAAAAAAAAAAAAGAAATAATGCTAGTTACATAATGATTGTAAATTGTAGGTAATAGAAAATCAATAAAGGCATTTCTTTTTGTTTTCTTCCTG